GGCCTGAGTTCACGCTGCTGTCATACTTCAATCTTGAATTCAGTCCGCCTTTGAAAGGAGCTCCCATGAAGGGATCTGCTTGCCCCGTACCTGTCCGCCTGCCTGTCTCTCGATGTGCTGTTATCCTGCACGCTTGCCTGGTCTGCGAGCATCCTTCAGATCTCAGATCCGCGCTCATTGAGTCTCACCTGCTTCTGCTGCTGCCGCCGTCGTCGTCATCTTACGGGGAGCTGCTCTGTGTTCCGCTGTCGGGCTTGTTGTTTTCCTCGTCGACGGCGCGTTCGGAAGACTTCGCTCGCAATTAAATAATGATCTTGAACATATTCGAAACCGACGCCTGTAGGCTTCTCATATGACGTCGAACAGCCGGGGGAACGCGAACGCGTGCGAGCAGACGGGGAGGGGGCGGGCTAGTGAACGAACGAACGACTGGGAGAGTGAGCAGGAGACCATGGAGTTTGCGTCCTGCTCAATGTCACACTATGGAGCGCAGGAGTGTCTGGGCGGCGTCGTGATAAAGTGCTCGAGCAAGTTCTAAAGTTTCCCGGCAGGCGGGCGGGCGAAGAAGCGGATGAGTGAGTGAGGAGCGGGCGGGCAGGGGTTTCCGCGCCTGGTTTTTTTCACAAGTTCGTGCATTAGTTGAATATGGAAGGAAACTCAAAATATGGCGCGACGGCTACACCAGTGGCGGCGTTGTATGCGGCGGCGTCTCACGGCCTTCTCCCCTATTCAAGTCGACAACCGAACGAATCCGAACACAGCCACCACCACCAACAACGACGGCGGCGAGAGGAAGTATTGTGCCTTTAACCAGCTGCGACTGCAGCCGTCGTCGGCGGCGGCGGCGGCTCGTTCTCCGAAGTAGCCCAACGCCTCACGTTTTTGCACCGTTGCGAGTCAATGACGAGGAGCGTTTTTACGACGACAGAATGAGCCGCGGCGCCAGCGTTCCCAGCGAGGCGCTCAGACTCCGACGGACGGAGCGGACGGCCGGCCGGCCGACCTACCAAATCGTCCGCTCCAATATTCGAAGAGCGTCGACGAACGAGCCCAGGGCTTTGATTGATCAAGTGGAGCGCCGTTTTCTCTACGACCTTGATCCAGGAGATATATCGAGGACCTTGCCTCGTCGACAGCCGTATTTCAGCGTCTACTGCTTTGGGAAAAAAACCGGCAAGAGGGAGCGGGACAGATTTTTCCCTGGATAGGACTCGTTTATCTAAATGATTTCTCCACATTATCGTCGTTCGCTTTCCTATCGATCTACGTAAGCTGATTTCGTTCTGAGATAACTTCGATGCAGAGGGCTGTAGGACCTTGGCAATGGTTGGAAACTTTGCCAAGAGTTGTCTCACATTTGTCCTTGTTCGGATTCGACGCGCAAATAATGGCGGCCCATTATAGGACGCTCGCTCGTCCTTCTATTCGGTAGGCTACCGTTGCCAACACTGTAGCTGCCACCCTTGCTCACCCAGGGTGGGGAAAAGCTTCTGGTTAGCGGTGAGGGAGCGAAGCTTCAAGTCGGTGTCTAGCTGTGGCCATCTGTCTTTCGAAGCTCTTCGGGAGTCATGTTTGTATCCTGATGACGCGCCTCTCGATATGATTGACATTCTGTCACATGTCAAAGTAACCACTTTGTAGCCCCTCTGTCGGGTCGATCACCAGACACAGCCGCGAGCCGACAAGCACCGAGTCAGTCAGCCAACAGTGTGTTGTTACACCGCTCAATTTTTATGAGTTAGAGTGCAAACGGCTGATTCCCTTGAGTTAATGCCGTGTTTCATTTGAGAGGACGGAGCGAGGTCCAGTCCGCTCGGAGAACCTACTGGCTGAGGCATGGGCCCATAACTTCCTCGTCTTGAGCCGAGTTCGACGTCATCCGGATTATTGGATTGGGATATCCGGCCCTCGGATCAGCTCTGGTACTTCGACTCCTCGTTCAGTCACGAGGACGACGTTGTAGCAGACTCGAGCAACTCAAGAAAATTCGGACAGGTAAGCAAGTCTGTAAGCTGAGCGGTCGGCGAGGTATCCGGACAACCTTAAAGAGCCCTGCGGTCTGTTATCGGCTGATTCCCTGACGTGATCCGACTAAAACGGAACTTGATGACTTTTGAGATGCAATAAGGGATGAGTGCACCAAATTCTCTTCGTTCTCAAGCGCGTTGACTACCGACGCTGCGGCAACGGACAAAAAACCGAACGTGACTGTAACCACCTCAGGCGAAATTCGGGTTACTGCTCGGCCCGCTCTGTAGGGCTGTAATCCTTTTCCGTCCTTTGCGAGCTCCTCGGTTTCTCACTCCTGTCTCGATGGTACTCCTTCGATGGATCCATCCTACTCTCGATGGATTTTAACGAGCAGATCTGACGGCGAAGCCCAAACGCCTATTTCCCTTCGGTAAGTGAAACGAAAACCGGAGAGAGAAGAATAAATGACGAAACCGAATCCCCGTGAGACCGCGGTTGACTCCTCGCGAAGGAGTTCTCCTCCGGCTCTGCGTCGCCGCCTTTAGAAAGAAGTCATCGCCCGGCAGCGAAGAGGAACAGTTCGCAAGTGGTTCCGAACGCAAAATAGAAATATCGCGCATCTCATTCCGCTTCGAGTATTCCAGAATAGGCGATCGCGGGAGCCAACTCAGTGAGAATACCGGTTCGGACCTATCGGGCTCCATGTGGTATTCGCAACGAAGACCAATCGAGAGCGTCTTCGGGTTTTATTCGACCGGCTCTACCGAAACAACAATTGGATTAAGGACGCCGGCAATGAGTGCTTGCTTCCTTTCATGCCTGCTTGCCTGAAAAGAACGACACACGGCAAACGGGAGCACATAAGTCACGCAACATTTCCGAAGCATCATTCATTCCATTTTTAATGTCAGGGATTTGCAGCGTGGCATGCTCCAACCTGCGCAAACACGTTCGCTGCTCAGTCAGTGAGTGAGCGGAGGCAGCCAATTCGTCGATGTGCACGCTCGCGGTGCTTGTGCCTGCTCGTCCAAGAAATGAGCTCAATTGTTCACGGACGATGGCGGCAGCGGGAGGAGGAAAGCAGATTCTCATTTTTTTTGTTTCCGAATGCTCGTTCGCTCTCCACCTATCTATCGAAGAACGATGGAACAGATGTGCAACGAATCGGGATCTGTGACACGAGGATCCGCATCGAATCTTTTTCAAGTAGCTCCTACTTAGCTCCAGAGCACGTGACCACCGAGATGGCGCGCTCCGTCTCTCGTCGCAAGAGGAATCTCAACGACGAGACGAATAAGGACTCGGAGATTATGAGCCGGATGGAGCTACTGATGCTGCTGATGGGTGCGTCGCAGCTGAGTGATTCAAGATTATACGCTACGACGAAATGCGAACGAACGCCGGCTTCCGCACGGAGCTCTGAGCCGTCCCAAGAGCGGCAGAAGGAGAGAAAAAACAATAAACTGCGGTAGCGGAGACCTCCCGGGACCGCGGTTCAAACGCCGAAATGAAACAGCAGTGTAGGCGCTGGAAATTCTAAACAGGCGCTCGGTGTACACAGCGGATCCTGTGATCATCAGTCCGAACTCGTCGGAGCCCACTCAGATGAAATTCTCGACAACGAGGGATTCGCGTAGGCGTCGACTCGCCTATGTCGATATTAAACACGAATCATCATCGTGGATATCAAGTCAAACAAAACCAATGTCTATGCTAACCTCCTCATCTGGACGCTCCGCCGAAGCCGGGCCCCGCTTTGATTCTGCTACGACGACGGGCTAAATTTGGAAATTCCTGATTTAAAGTTCGGGATTCGACCCTTTCAAAGCGATATGGGGAATTTCGGAATCCTCTCTAATCTTCCCTTTCATAGCAACAGCGGGACGACGAGGTCGTCCACCGAGAGCGTTCGAGTGAGGGAGCCGCTGAAGTCGAGGACGCGGTCGATATGTTGATCGTTGAGACTGAAAAGTGCTCTTTCTCGTCCAAGCCGTTTGTTGACTCGGCAGACGGCTGGAAGCTCGTCATATTTCCCAAATACGTGGTCGGTCAATTTCGAGAACGAATGAGAAGATGATTTCAAGCACGGTTCCAGCCCTCGGAGCCACGCTGGAAACTCGGTCTATATGGAAACCAGTTGAGCTGGCAAACGGCGGCGAAATTCGAATTCGAAAACCACGATTTGATTCAATTTTCGATCGACGAAACACATAGGGCCAAGTGGGACCAGGAAACCGAATCGGAAACCTGCTTTTGTTGTAACGGACGTTCGCTTCGGTAAGCGGGGAGTGTTTTCCTTTCGGGATTCCGTTTGATTTTCGAACGAGGCGAGGAGAAAAACACAAGGCGACGGAAACGACGTGGAACTAGGAAACAATTGCTCTCAAATTTGAGAGACTTGAAAATCTTTGTCGGAGCGGGCTGCAGGGAATTTCGTCCCGGAAGTCATCCCCGCTCTCGGAACTGAAAATTGCGTCGGCACCCGCACTCACGAAGTCGGTGTTCGTCAGGGCTGGTTCAACGTTTTCGTTCTCTGCTTACTGAGACGTAACGAGGAGCCGGAGAGCCGCTGCGAAAGCTGGCATGCGAATGAATCGTCGGGAACATTCCTGTAGGAGCAAAAACGTACGAAGCTCGATTGGAATCTCATTCGCTTCCCATCTTGATATTCGGAGCTCTCAATCGGGAATCTATCCGCGAGCGACCCGTCTCACGGGCGGCATCAGGTGAATTGATAGTGGCCGTCGTGGATTAATTTTTTTCTGACCGCGGAAAATGGGACGACTGGAGTACTCTGCCGTTGAGTTCTTCCCTCGACGACTCGGGATCGGGAATGCGTTCCCACTAACACTGGCCTTCCCCGGTCCATCCACGAAAAATTCATAACTCATCTGATTATTATCGACATTGTGTGAAAGTATGTATAAATAAGCCGCGATGGGTCACGTTACGCGCGAAGGAAATAAATCGGCAGTGAAACATACCTCTGTTCCGCAGCGACCGAGTCAGGAGGAAGATTTCAGAGGTCCATGTATTTTCGTAAGGTGCGTACATTCTGTGGGGCACTAGTCCCTCAGTCAGTGAGAATCCCCTCGCGCTCCCGATGAACGGCTAGACCCAGTAGACGGTGAAGTCTCCCGAGAGGGGAATGCAGTCAGAAGCCGCAGTACGGTGGAATTATTATTATTAGATCGACCGATGTTCTTGGCTGAGTCAGTCGTACTCATGTTATGAACAAACGAGCAAACACATCAGGAATCGGGACCAGTGGTTGGAATCCGAATTAATATCGGTTCGATGCTCACCGTTGTCATCGTTACTCGAGCAGGGATGCTGAAGGCCGCGGAGAACTCGCTCTATTAGCCGCTACGCTAACGTTGAGGCACCTTAATTGGCAAGCGGGACGACTGTCGGACGGATTGATGCGTGCGGGTTAGCGGCACGAAAATCAACGCGTTCGCGATCGCACCGCTAGATATAACATTAATGGTCCGTCCGTCCGTCGCGTCACAGCCGAAAATCATTTCGCGACGAAGGTGAGAAGAATAACACGAACGATATGGCGGCCGATCTCTGTGCATATAACGCAATATTCGAGTGCTAATGCTAGTGACGAGTGGAACCCTGATGTGGAAGACTGAGGCCGCGCTGGAGCGCAGTGATTGCGCCAACGCTACCACGTACTATATAATACATACAGCGAAAACGCCGACGTTCTTCTGCTCACTCATCTAGCTCTCTCAGTTCGTCGCAATTGCTCCCTCATTTCATCTCCTCGCAACCGCGGTGTCGCTTGGGCTCCTCTCTCACGCGCTCGTTCTCTCTGTTGCCGTAGCCGGAGAGAAGATATAACACCCTGCGGACTGGCAGCAATTACTCGGATTGGGGCCATGCAAGGAAAGCCATTCCGTCGGCTCGCGAGACGCAGTTACGCAGTCGGCGGGGCGTCGTCGACAGAAGCGGCTCCGTCGACGTCGGCGTTCCCGCCTCGTATACCGACATATGGCTCGGAGGCTGACCGACGCGGCGGCAACCACATGACAGATGCTTCCCCCGTTCCGCGATGCCCTGACCTCGCTTTCGAGAAAATGCTCTGAGGGCTACACGGCAACAATATCACGAACACAGATTATTCCTCTCCCGAAATCTCTCCCGTTCCCAGCGTAAGCGATCCCCCGCCCCCCTCCCACCTCGGATCGGAGCGAGAGTAGAAGTCGAGGAGTTCATCCGATGGATGTCTTCCCGGAAGGTATGAAGGAGCCCAGGAGCACTTTCGGCGACGACAGACTCGTTCCCGAGCGAACGAAATTTCGTTTTCGTTCAAGCGCTAGATACGGGGAGCAGGGCCCCGCGGACTTTGTGGAGAAAATTCCTAAATCGGACAATATAATTAGCCCTTCATGAGAGACAAATCCGCTTGGCATTATGATCCGGATAGCTGAGCCCACTAAATCTTTGTCCCTGACTGGGTAAGTGTGCAACGAGGAGCGGGACACTCAATCTGCTGACTCAGTCGGTGTTCGCCACCACTGTAGCGAGATCGCGCAAGCAGGGGTGTAAGCAAGTTTGCTGGCAGGCGCAGCGACGAATGAGGCGCCGCGCGTTCGGACGGACAGACAGACGAACGGTCGGGCAGACTCACAGTGAGAACTGGTGTAATGCGCTCGATCCGCAGCTCCGTTTCGCGGAGCATCTCCCGCATCTTGATATGCATACAGTAAGCTCCTGCTAGTCTGCTTGTTCGCAGTTGCATACCGAATGTGTTGGCTCGTATGTATATAGTAGTAGTCGTCGTCTCAATAGTTTCTATGTATGTCGAGTCCGTATGTCCGCTCTCGCCCAAATCCCCCACTGCGAATAAGCTCCATATTGGGTAAACGAGCTTCAATGGTCGATTGGCTGAAGAGCGGGACGGGCTTCCAACGATCGACTGAACTTCCCATCGGACTAGGCAAGTGTGAAAACGCCTCAAGATGGATAGATGGATGACTCGCCCACTGGAAGACTCTTGCACGAATAGAAAGAGAGGAGGCGAGCGAATACACGGTCCGCCCGGGGAGCGCTACATGCGACGAGAGACTTGCGGAGGGGATTATCGGCTGAAGCTCAGCTGATCTCAGTCAGTTGTGTGCCCATGTCCTTGTTAGTTGAAATGGATAACTGCCCGGCTTGTGGATCTTGCAGAGAATCATCGCTGAGCTCCAGATTGGGAGAGCGAAGCAGAGATAAGCCATAGCCAACAATTTAATTGCGCGGCAAAGCTGTCTCTCGTTCAGATATCGAATAGGATCCCTCGAAATATCTATCAAAGCTTAGTCTACTAGCCAAACCCGCTACTTGTTCGATTTCGGGAGCTTTGTGCTCGGTCTCGAATCCATTCGGAACACGCAAAGTCACTAAAATGTAATATGTGGTCATTGTCGTTTACATACGCTGAGATGTAGGCCCGGGGCCACAATCGTCGGTTCGGAGAAGAATCGTGCGAAGTCGAAAATTATGACAGGAAATTCATACGCGTTCGCGCTTCGCGGATCGAGTCGGTCTGAGGAAACGAATATTAATGGACACTTTTCCAAGCGATTGTTAATCCTCGTTCCTTCCCATCGTCTCTTGAGGCTATCTCCGAGCAGCAGCAGTCGACTGCCGATTCATAGCTGAATTCGGATATTCCACCGAAGATTCTCGAATTGACATCCGATCAACCCCAAGGCTTCTCCCCGCTCCCCATGAATCGTTTGCTCCGAGTCCGCCGTCGTCGTCATCGCCGACGTCGAGTCAGCAACTTGCGCCGCGAAATCGCTTTTTGATATCGAGGGATATGCTGCTGCTAGGAGTGTTCGGAAAACTGTTTTCGACCCCTGTCGAAACCCCGACGTCGATGGGTATATGTCAGCTTGAGTTTTTCTCGAATTTTAGCCGCGGCAAATGCCCGAACGCAAAGCGACATGAAGTCTTGAAATGCCAAAGCTCGTTTCCGGAGGGTCAGGGTGAGGATTCCGATTTGGGATCGTAGCCGTTCACAGAAAGAGCCCTCTCGAACCCGCCCGCGCGCTCGGGGCCTCCACTCGAGCCGGACAGTTGCCATGGAATGAACGATAAGATTTTGCACAGAGGTCTTTCTGAAAGCGGAGAACTAACCGCCCCACTCCGAAGCGGATGAGTCGACAGCGTTTAGTGGTGAAGCGTTTCTCGATGGTGTTACATTCTGTTCGGCAGCACTTGAATCTCTGGTCGAGAAGAACACTCTGGTCGCTTCGTAGCTATTGAGATTAGCAAGTCAAATCTCCGTGGCCGGCTAGCGAGTCCCCACCATCTGGCGCGTTCCGAGGACAAGCTCTGGCGGTCACCTTTGGGACGAGACCGCAAGAGCCTCCTCATGCATTGATACAGGACAATTTCAGATTCTCGTTGCTTTCGGTCAGACCCGAGATCTTCCGCGGAGACCTGCTGCTGCCACTTGCCAGGCAGCAGCGCTGCGGGACATATACATAGGGGGGAAGGGGAGAAGGGTGACGCACAGGAATGAGGACCGCACTCGACGGCGGTATCGAGGCGTATGAAGCCGTTGGTTTCATGTGGCGTCTCCGAGGGCGAAACATTCTGGCGACCGCATCTTACGGGACGAACTCATTCCTGAAATAATCGCCGGCGATAGACTGCCTCGCCGAGGACTAGAGGAACTCGCCCGGGACCGCGTCAGGAGTCGCCCTTCTATCAACGATACCTGGGAAAGCGGGAATTCGTCCTCCCGGAAGTTTACAAGCTCCGATCGGTTTCGCACCGACGCTAGATCGACGGGGCCTGCTTCAGCCCATTAATAGAGGGGCAGAGAATGAAAGGCTGGAAGGTCAATTGAAGGAAACACGTGAGTGTGAGCGGAGGAACGAACCCGCTGGAGGGTCGAGGAGGGGTCTCGAGGAAGACTAGGTCGAACCTTAGCATGGATCCGCTGCGGTGGACCAAATTTAATGAGGCGGGTCGTTAAAAGTCTCGGATCTCCACCGCGCGGCTTTGACAAGACAAGCCGCTGAGCATAGCGACCGCAATGAGGAGTGGAGAAAAATACAAGCTTGTTTTCTGGTTCTCTCTGCTTATGCTGCAGCCAAGCAAAAAAAATTCCAAATAGCTCGCGGACTCACATTAGTTTGGAGACGCCTCGCAGGTGGGCCGCTCGTCTCCTATCTGGCCCGCTTTTTATCCCGCCGTCGTTCCTCTACACGTATCTCGCTTGCTCCTCTATCTCGTCTTTTAGTATAGCGGCTTTCTCGACTCTTCTAACTAAACTGACCATGGTCACGACACTACGCCCGGTCTCGTTGAGCGTCTCCCATGCTGATATGAAAGGACCGGTTTGGGACGAGAGTGGCCGAACGGGGACGAGTGATTAGGAGGGCAGCCAGGCGATTTGCGGGAGTCGATTGGGCTAAGGACTCCGCATTCCTTCGAGATTTTGCGCAATTGTTGGGATCCCTGCAAAAATTGTCGCGTTGTAGGAAATGTCAGCTTCAGATGGGAATCAAGAACGGAGCATCGGCGTTCTGGCTCTACGATTGAGGGGAACGCCACACTGTCGACCTTTTCATCGAATTTCGAAGCTATGCCGATAACGCGCAAATGGACGTGCTGAACCCCGAGACCCTCTCGATATTGAATTCTATAGAAGGCGCGATGCACCTTCTCACAAGGTGGAGATCGACGTCAAGGAGGGTCGCAGCCGCTGGAGCCTGGTCGCATCTTTCATTGGCTCCGCTTCGAGACTCGTCACGGGCAGCTATGCCGTTCGTGGAGGGCTCCCGAGTTTTTCGTCTTCTTCATGCGAGTTGACCCCGACCCAGACTCTCTATGATGGGGAGGAATCCGCCGGACTCGCGGAAGAACATACATACATGATATGTAATATGTATATACCAGCCGTGCGGGCGCTTCGCGCCCTTACGGCTGCTCACGCCCGGGTGCCGGCCGCAATGCCTCCTAACGCATGACTCCCGAATAATGAGGCGTCGAGACCGCGTGTCAATCAAAGAATCGAGGAATGCAAAAGCAGAGACGCAAAGCCGGAGATAGTCGAGCCTTCCGATGAGAGAATACGCGAGTAAGATACTGATTCCCATCGCCACTCCCCGGGTCCGCACGCACTCCTGAGTCGTTAGAGACTCCATATGTGAGATGTCGGCGTATAAGAGACTCATCGCGGATCTCGTCTCCATGAGATCCCGTGTCGAAGGTCTCGCTTCCACGAAACTGAATGCAGCTTTCTCATTTCGGAACGATGTTCCGTGATTTGGCCTCTACGGGCGTCTCAGAAGAACCGTTCGATGTGTGGGCGAAACTAAGAATGTCGGCATTTCATACAATTTTGAAAATTCAAATTTCGCCTGACCGCGTGTGACAACAACAGAAAGTCGGCTATAAGCTTTGAGGAAGTCTTCGAGTTCTCTGCTCCTCTCCGATTATGTAGAGATCAAACTGCGGAATATTGAGAATGAAGAACAGAAGAATAATGAAACACACTCCACCTGCGCGAGGAAGCACTTCGTTGCAGCCTTATGAGAGGAAGTGGGATTGAATTTAGGTTTCAAGCTGAAAGCCGTTGCAGGCTCATGAGTGAAACTGTCGCTATAAAGCCTGAGAAGAGAGAGGCTGGTCCCTAAGCCCGGGAAGGTCGGAGAGAATTGATAGTAGGAATCGAGATTCATTGATTGATGTCTCATAAGCAAAAAACAAAAAAAAAAAACAAAACAGAAACAAAACAAAAACAATTTTGTCCCCCGATGTCGCGCTTTATAATAGGAATGATGTAAGAGATTCCTTCGAAGACGATCGATTCGCTGTGGACAGACGTTGATTTATTCTCTGATCCTCTATGTTGAACATCGATTCGCTATTGGGCACATGGTTCACTATCTAGAAAATACCCGTGGACAGACGAATCGATTTTCTAGGACTTTAGCGCAGACGCGACGTCGACTGACTTCTACTGACGACTAGTACGCGCGCCGTCGCTGCTGTCGCTATGGTCTCGTCTCCGCTAGAGCGCGCGAGATTTGAACTTGATGACGGGGAGTCATAGGAGCAAGTTTACATATATATGTATTTGAAAGAATGTTCCTAGTCGAGGATTTCCTTCTACCGCCGTGCCAGGATGAGGTGTGGACAAGCTAGAAACGTATCGACGGTCGCTGACAGCCGTTCCTCCAACGAGTCCGCTCTCTTGCCTGCTCGTTGAATACGCTCATTACTTCTAACAAGATCGTTATAGCAATCTTTGTGCCGCGTACGCAACAAGCGGCCGCACTGACGGGTATTAATTACGCCAAGTGGTGCACATCTGATCGCCAGTAAGTCCCAGCTTCTGCCGACATCGCTCCCTTCGCAGTTTGTGATGGAACTCGAAATTACGGTTGTGTCTACCGGTCCGAGAATGGCGATGGTCGGAGGGGTACGTGAACGAAGGTCGCAAGCTTCGCCGCGGGCGGATCGAGGAGTGTCAGCTGTTCGGCTCTGGTGGATCTTATCGGGGCTGAGCAATCACGAAAACCGGGGAGAGAGCTGGCTGCTCGAAACGCAGAAATGAGCAAAAGATGGAAGTATGGAAGATGAGATGAAGCGGATGCCTTCATGTCGAGTGGGCGTTTCTCTCGAACCAAATAGGACGGCCAGGAAGCCCAACGATGGGGGGCGTTTTGCGGCCTCGGAGACTCAGTCAGTAGTCGCCTGGAGTCCGGGGGCCTCCTGATCTGACCCCTCTGCCGTCGCCCGCTCGAGTGCTTCACGGACGGTCTGATAGAGATGAGATTAAAAGACCACGATGGAGGATGAAAACTTATTGAGCGAAAAGACGTCGAGAGTCCGCTCTATGGAGAGCGAGAGAAGGAGCTCCACAGGATAGGATTTAGTGGAGACTGCGGAATTAGGCATTCTGAGGGCTTCCAATTCCGAGAACAGCCCTTTTTGAGATGGTTAATTTTGTACGCGAACACTCGAGAGCTGTGCCTATGCCGATCGTCAATTATTAGTGATTAGGATTTTTTTTTCGGAAATTTCCTGACAGCTCCCGAATTGAGGTCCGCCGTTCCCATGTGCTGACGGTGACTTTTTTCTTCTCAGGAACGATTCTGCTGCCGAACCAGGACGTCTATGAAAATATTCTGCGGTATGCGGTGAAAAATTTCGACAGTCCCCTGTTCGACGTTCGACTAGTGACCATGAAGCTCAGTAGCGTGGACTTCGTCCAGATCAACATGAAAGGTAAGAATTCCGCCCTATGTGTATTCTCCAGATTGACTGCCTGGCCAGGGGCTGGGAACGTCCACGCAATGCAATCCCATGTCAGATGGATGGAAAAACAGTCGAGAGCAACGTTTCTTTGGTCTTGTCCAAATAAATAGATCTTACCGACAAGAGAGTGAGTAAAGCTCTCATTGATGGATGGTTCAGCATCATTCATATCAACAGGCGGGAGTAATTCGTTTCCACCTCTTCCATATGTCACCGAAACGTCCGCGATCGCAACGTCTCTCCATTGCCTCCCAGCGAAGGGGGAGAGATTCATAGACCGTCGGTCCCTCGAACGATCGGTGGTCTTAGCTTTGGGAGCGAACTCGCGAATGAAGAGAGCTTGGAAAGGAAAATAACGGGGCTTCCCGGAATACTCACCAGTGGTGTGGTGTGTAATGTGTCGGAAGCTGAATTCTCCCTTTCCGCTCTCTACGCACAGCTTTTGTATTCTCGCTCTCTCTACCTCCACGCGTTCCTACCTACGGAACATACAGTGGACGTCGCAATCATCGCTCCCTATAGTTTCTGGGAGACAGGATCGAGCTCGTACAGTGGAGACAGTTAAGAAGGGTAACAGAGCGAGTGAGCCTAGCGACATTCAAGTCGAGGTCTTTTTACTCTCTCTTACAAACAACGTGGCAATTCTCATCAAAACCGAGCCGCATAGCTAAGCACACTGGAACTCTGAAAGAGCTGCCTGTAGTCGGGCGAGTTCTCGCTTGGGAGGAGCGTTTTGAACTCCCTCAGCAAGCTCTCATTTGAATTGCGTCTCGTGACGTTTGCCTCGAGTGGTGATTTCACGGATGTTTGATTGCTTGCTTGGCGTGTTTTTTCTCTTCTCCCTCATTTCCTTCCAGACTCCCGTCCTCACAGCGGTTCGCGATACACTAGGTTGTTTACATTACGCGCAGGACTCTCTCCTTGGGAGGAGGATTTCGGCTCGCCAGGGCCTCCTCAGGAACGAGCAACAGCTGGCCTGTTGGATCTCCAACCCCTCTCGACCGGGGAACTGGATCTTTCCTTTTTCTGGCCGTTCTGTTTCGCAAATGACGCGAAATGCTGCTGGTATCCTTGTCCCTAGCCCGAGACATGAGACAGCTCGACCGAATGCGAGCGAGCACAATCGGGGACGATCTAGCTATCGGCTGATTTGGATCGGAGTTCCATGCTTTGGCTTTGCGTGTAGGATCCGCGGAATGCCCCTGGAGAGTCGGCGCAAAAGTCATTCCGGTCGGAGAGTGCTGTTTTATTGGCCAATAAAGCCCAATCTTTGAACAAGGTACATCGAGGGCGTAGCAGATCTCGATTGAGAAATACGTCTCTTCTCCTTTCTTCCCTCTTACTCCCAAAATATCGGAATTGCATCATCATCTCCTTTCTGCTCCCTCCGATTTCGTCAATGCGTTCTACCTCATCGAGCCGACGGCGGCACATACGGCCGGAATCGATCCCGTGCCATCAGGACACTTCGGCGGTGTCTGCAAAGCATTTGTACAGAAGCTCGTGAGTCGAGCCGTGGGTCCCGCGCAGAAAAAATACGAGACGACGGAACGGGTGGACGGACGCAAGATCCCCGCTCTAGCCAGAACCCAGCGAATCTCCAACTGGACGCCGCTCGCCTTGTAATTACCTGAGACCGCAGGATACTGCTGGCTGACCATCCAGATTGGGGAATAGCGGCCCTGACAGGTCGACGACGGACGGACGGACCGACCGGCCAACACACGGAGCCTCGGCGCTCAAAAGCAGTCAGCGAAGTGAATATTAGTTGCAAGGTTGCACTAATTATACAGAGCTATCCACCGCCGGCCGAGCTCTGGATTCGGCCATGCAGACACCGTTTGGATTTTCAGGCACGTGAGACCGCCGCTCGGTGACCACCATCCGGTCATTCCCCATGTCGTCGCTGCTGTCTAATCCGACAGCGATCGCACCGGTCGGGGGATACGCTTGACGTCGAGAGCGGCGACGTAGACAGCAGCGACAATTCGAGCGGTCGGGTCAGTGGGTTCCGCTGGTACGACCCTTGACACAGTTTTCACTTGTTTCACTCATCCAATCAGAAGTGCTTGTTTCACATGTGCTCGACAGCGATCGGAATCGCAGCTGATTACAGCAGCAGACATGAAACCTCATCGCCGTCTGTTGATTGAGGCTAATGATAAGACGAAACAATTCGCAGAGCTCGTCATCCTTAAATTCAAAGTCACCAGCATCCCTGGCAGACTGGAACTTGAATCCGGTGGCTCACTGCTTCACGCTTCGACGGTTTTTGGTCTCCGAGAGTCAGGCTATCGGTTAACGGGTGCGTTTCTCTATTTGCAGTATGCCAGATGATGCGTGAAGGGGTTCTGGCCTTCCTGGTTGCACCCGACGCGGCGCCGGCGTTGAGGGAAATGCTCATCTCATACTCATCTCACTTCCACATTCCCCTCGCAACTTCACTTTCTCCCAGGAGTTTCACTCGGAGCGAATACGCCATTTCCACGCAGGTGTCGGTTGCCGAAGCCACGGCGTCTCTCCTACGCCGCTACAGGTGGTCGCAGGTCGCCTACGTCTACGATGACTCAGCCTCCCCCGATATTCTAGGTGAGTGATTCAAGTTTTTTTTCCCTATCAAAACCAGTCGAATCATGCGCGAGGCACGGCGGAAAATAGCTGAAAGTAAGTGGTCAGACTCTTCCTGGAAACTTTGTGCGCACCGGCTGTGAACACCAACGATAAGTTGGACTTGTTGGCCAGCTGATAAGCAACTATTGGCTGGCGGGCCGGCGACCGTTCGACCGACCGTTCAGCCGGCCTGACGGGGACGAGCAGGACGACCCGAGTAAGCACCCGGGACGGCCTGAAGAGGCAGGCGCGCAGGATGCTTCCCGATATCGACTCTCCCGGGACGGCTCCCCTGTCACTTGCCGGACAATGTGAATCAACTTTCGACAATGTTTTTCCTTGGCCTCACTTCCTCCGTCGCCTCACCGGAAAAAAAACGCGCACCCGGACGGGAATATCCCGCAACAATGTCGCTCAGCATACCAAGGGTCGGAGCGCACGCTCACCGAAGTTCCGGAAGTCCTTACTCCTCCGGCTTCCTTCATTGTTTCGGGTCGGAACCCTGTCGGACCCACCGACTGCACGCAAAGTCTAGAAAGAAAGAAGCCAGTCGAACACTACTCTCTTCGAAGAGAAGGATTCTGGGAGAGGTGCGACTGGGACAGCCGATCGACAAACGCCTTCGTGAGTGAACGGGCGGTCTGTCCGAGTTCGCGCGCGCCAGCCGTGACGTCGACGCAAAAATACAAGGTTTCACAATTAGGAGAGACAAACGAGTCCTGTTGAAATCCATGGGATCTCTCAGGCGAGCGAACGAACAGACAAACAGACATTTGCGCGGACGGTAGAGCGAACATTCGCGAGCGCTCGCGAACAAAGCGAGCAACTCTCCGGTTTGTCGGTCAGTCACTCGAGCAAGCGACACTCGGACCGAGTTTCGCCGTCACGTTCTACGTAATGGAGAAGCTCTGTGGTGTCGCCCAATGTCCTGAATACGAACTTTTGCGAACTCTACGCCTTGCCTGGAGCGCCTACGCGTGTCCACCATTTGCGTCGGCTGCATCGCATCTGCGTCGAACGTTTCGATCATTACTGATGGAAATATGCAAATTTCACTCTTACTAATTCCATCGCTTCCGTCATTATCCCAGTGAGCCCGACTGCTTGCTATCGCATCAAATTTCACGTCGCGAAGCCAAATTTGTTTATACGTAAAGGGCAACGGTCGCCGGAACTTGGTGCTATCAAACGGGATCGAAAGTCACGCGGCTTCTGAACCTTCATCGCTCGCAACTCTCTGGAGAGGAGCGCTCGCGGATGAGGAATATCATACGAGAAGATATTTTGCTCCATGTCTGCAAATTCGTGCTCCGCTCCATGCTTTGCAGATCTGTGCTCTGCTCGCTTTCGGCCGTCTCTCCTATCTGATTGCTTGTGAGGAGCGATATCCTGCGCGCCAGTAATTTGTGCGTGGAATTGATTGTTCAGACATGAATTATTGAGCGTCCGACGAAGAATGCGCCAAGCCTTGTCGTACGCGCATCGAAATAAGGAGGAATAGACAACAGCCCCGCGTTGTTACCTTGAGCGAGTTTGCGTTTCTTCCATCGCCATGACAGCGGGCCGGGAAATTAGGGGATGGACAGCTCCCCTGGTAAAGTGGAGCTCCGATAGTAATCGCACGCAGACATCAGCGTCGCGTGGCCGCAGATGAGGGACAAAAATCACATTAGGTAGGTCCTCCGAGGAGGGGCCTCTCGCACCGTACGGCAGCAAATGAATTCTCAAAGCTTCCATTTTTGATCCCATCGCGACGCGGAAGCCCGTTACTCGCAAGGGCCTACGGCTTTGCAATCTCAGTACAGAGCCGGGTTACCCTTCCGTTGCGTGAGCTCCGCACTTCGAATGGGGAATCCTATTCTCTCTGTTCTGGGAACTTAGGCGCGCGACGCGCCTCCCGATTTCTCCATTCTCTCAATTGGGATCGAAGCTCTTCATCTACCGCTCAGCCTGTGATCTGTACGCTGGACGACGAAGCGCGACGGGAAAACTGCGGCTTTTGGCTCGCGCCGACAATCTATCGGTCGTTTCTGATGAAGATATCCCGCTGTTTGGTCAGTAGAGCGAAAAGCGAGAAAGAGCTCATCAGCGAGCATCAAGCTGATGCATGCGGCAGTTCCTCTCAGTTTGTTTGCTCGTCCCAGCTTCGTTTGTCGCTCGCCCAGCCGCTTGGTGTTATATCACTCTCATCGTCGGCCTCGTTTACTCGTATTTTTTTCCATATTGAATCGTTTCCTCATTCCTCCGGCTTAGTATTCATATGACAAGAACGAAAATTAACGCATTGTTGATTCGCGTACGTTTGACCTACCGTCACGCTGTCTGGGTTTGTTCGGGGAATGCGAGCGTAGCACATACGCCGCACACCGTGTGAATGAATATAAGGCGAAGTGCGAGAGGCATTCATTGTTGATGGAGGGGGAAAAAGATGAATGAGCAATCGGACAAAACTCGCTCGGTGTATCCAATGGAGAGACTCGCGCAGAACTGCAAAAGTTCTCCGATAAAATGAGAAGAATTCTCAGGCTATCGGAATCATTCAGATCATAGCAGCCTCCAAACTTGTCTTGGACAAACTAGGTGCAACCCTAATTTCGTCAGAGACTGGTGGAAAAACTCTCTGTTGGATAAAATAATTCGTGGTTGCGACATTATCTGACGCAAGCTTCCTTTTCACAGAGGCAATCCAGAACTCTGGAGTGAAGATTTCCATTATGAAGAAGGTGAACACTGAAGCAGAAGCGAGTGACGCGGTTCTGGAGCTGTCGTCCCTGGGTCGGCTCAAGCCCGAAAAAATAGAAAAAATCGTTCTCAACGTCAACCGACCCAGTCTGGCCAAGACAGTGCTGTCTGGAATGATCAGGGAAGTCAAGAGCTTCAAGAACCTCAACACGCAGTTCATATTCGCCAATCCGGTAAGCTTGAGCGCGGAAGAGAAATTATCACTCCTCAACAGAAGAGCGGGTCCGAGCCTCGCAGTTTTCTGCGCGACTGAGCTTTGGGTCAACCATTATTTCTCAAGTTATTCCTGGCGCATTCTTGTGTCAGCTTTTTTCTTGGTGTGGATACGGCACAGTTGACACGAGTGGCCGCCCTTAGATGGACGTCCGGAATAGAAGCTCTATCGATCCCTCAGATCCACTCTATTTTTTTCATTCTCCGTGTTCCCACGGTAGATATGAGAGATCGGACGGCATACAGAGATACCTCGCGGTCATCGGTACGTTCCCGAGAGCCCTGGAAGCGCCGCTCATCCATGCGTCGAGGAACGAGGAGAGACTCTACAATGTGTTTATATGTAGGAGGGAACGGTGGTCCAGCGAGGAGACGAGAGAGGAGACGTTTTTGTTCAAACAGCGACCGCTGTCTCGCCAGCTCCCCTGAGCGACCACTGGTTCCGATTTTTTTTCCTTTTTTTTATCTCAGGTCGAGCGGTCTCGAAAAGCTTCAACTGCTGTCCTGGTCGCGGTTCTCGCTTGGGTGCTGTTCTTTCCTTGCTCACAACGAGAACAGATTCGAAGTTTTTGCGGTGCGGACCGAAGGCTGCTCCGACGAAGGGGTGATCCTCGGTCTCCCTGCGATGTCGACCTCGACCAGGACGACTTCGATTGAATATGAGCGCGGTTTTCTGACTCCTATCCAAGCGCAATGGCGGGAACCGCCAACTCCTCTAGGTTCCGTGCTCGAGACCCTGCTCCGCAGTCCCTTTTCAGCGCGAACCTTTCGCTTCTGCAGGTATCCGATGACTTCTGGCAGTACATCCGTTTCCGTGACGCCGGAAGCAGTCTGAACGTGACCGCCTTCCGGCTCGTGGATTCCGAGTTGCCGCACGTCACCCGCTTCCACAAACAGATGATGCAGTTATCGTCCCATAGGTGAGCAGTCGAAGCATTCGTATAATAAAAAATCGAGAGGAAATAGAGAGGAACTCTCGGCGAGATCCGCTCGGCTGCTTGATTAAGAATAGCAGCGGGCTCCGGGGATCCCTTCAGTCGAACTAATGCGGAACGTCCGGAAGTTCGTGCGGGAGACGTCTGCGTAGCGTCCGATCCTGGCATTCATGAGAAAAGACCTCATCCAGTTCTGGCATATCTACTTCTGAAATATCACCCGCGAACATATGCCCGTAATCGATACTAAATTGATGAAAGTCTCAAATAATGAGGAAAGAACTCGATTTTCCAGATCCCTGTTCCACAACCAAGGCACCCAGTCGTACCTCTTCTTGGACGCGGTGACTGCGCTCCTTACCGGCTTCGAACGTGTCCTCCGAGAAAACCCTCGACTCCTGGATAAAAATCTTCGACACCATCCCGGATCAGTTTACTTCAACGGCACTAAGGGACTCGATTGCATGGACCAGTCCCGCTATTTCGAACATGGAAAGTTCCTCGCCGGCTTCATGAAAGACGTCAAAATACCTCAGGGCCAATCAGGACCTGTCGAGTTTCACAACAACGGTGAAAGAACGCAGCCGACTATAACAGTCATCCAGGGTTCGCACAAAGGACATGTGCGTCTCGGTACCTGGACGCCGAAAAAAGGACTCATGCTCGCCGACAAACCGGAAGCTCTCCCGCAAATAAAAGCCCCGGGAGCTATCACACCCGCCAAGGAACTGAGCGTCGGAAGTGTGTTGGTAAGAAAACGTCGTTCTCGCCGACTCTTCCTTATATCTCAGAATCATGGCCTGCGAGCGGATCGGAACTCCGTAGGGGACCGAACGGATCGTATTTGTCGCTCGCGAGAAGTTTCGAATTGTCCAGAGTAGCCAAATGAACCGAAAGTCAAATACGAGGACGCGAGGCGCGAGAGGCCTCCGGTAAAACTTCGCATGTTCAGAGGGCGAGACAACGAGAACATGAAGGGTCTCCGACCACGCGAGGAGGGAGCGTATCGGGCGTTCTCCCTGCACTCGTGTCGTGAGAGCTACGGGCGGTCTGTTGAAAAGTGGCGGAACGAAATCCTGACGAGGGAGCGGAATATCAGGCGATAGAATGGAGGGGCAACGGCCGCAGGAGATAGCAGGATGCTCGTTCGTTCTCTTGTCCGCTAGCTGACTGCTTCGTGTTTGCTTACGACTGAAGAGTTTTTTCCCTCCTGCCGGGAGGGCAGGAGCCTCGGGTGTTGTCGGCGAGAGCTCGAGCCGTTGTCATGGGGTCTTTTGTCGCAAGTTAATCAAGCGCGCACATTGTCGAAATCGGATATTCGGGAAGAGCCCGACGCGTATATCGAGCGATGGGCGAACGCGCGACTGGAACAACGAAAGCTCTTACGCGATACGGAGGCTAATTGTATTTTGCTTCAATTTCCAGAACGTCCCGTATCTCACGCAACGCCAACCGGAGGGCGAGTTTTCCGGCTTCGTGCCAGACTTCCTTGAAGCGCTGTCCAACGTCGTTCCCTTCGCCTATAAGATTCAAGCGATCCGACATCGAGACTATGGACGCCGCTCCGAGAATGGAACGTGGAGCGGACTGATGGCGGAAGTCGTCAACAAGGTAAGTGCTAGAAAGTCGTCTCCCGAGTCCGTTCTCCCATTTTCGCATTTTCAATGCCGAGACATGCATGCAACACGATAGATCGTGTCCCGAGATCGGAAGATCAGGGTCTCGGGCAATCCGAAAACCGGTTCCCCCGATGTTTATGACAACGGCGATTCAGAGTTTTGGAAGTTTCCCGAATCAAGCTTCCCCGCCGAACTCCGGATCATGCGCGGGATCGGGGGAAGGAGCTCGGCATGGTTCACTTGGAGGGGAATGCTTGCATCGGTCGGTTACTCGACGTTTCAGGCTGCTAGGTCCGCTTAATTTCTTGATAACGGCTCAGAATCCGAATCAACGCTCTGAGAGATTTAAATAAAAGCCTCTGGAATTGACGGAGAGGCCGTGGCGGTGACAACTTCCTCTCGCACTTACTCGACCGGCAAGTGTCTCGATCGTTGTGCGGTCTCGAAGCAGCCTAATACCCACCCACCATGGTCGGTGCTTTGCCCCGCAGTCGAAAGTCAGCGTTGTATTGCGCGCTGTCGATGGGTCCGGTGGGCGGCGAATTTTAAGCTTGGATGGCCTCAAGCGGACTTTGTTGCCTCGCTCACGGTCCTGACCCGCGTTTCGCCGCTGTTCGCATAGGGGTCGCAGCGCGAATCTCGCCGATGCGCCGGTAGCGCATTCCGGAGCGACCGGGTGTCATACATATGGAGCGCAGCTTGATGATCGAGGCGAGAATTTATCAAATCGTTCGAAACTCGACCGCGTGAGACCACCGCCTCGGGAGAGGGGAGGAGTTCCGCTGCAGTGTTTTCGAACAAATGTATCGATGGTCGTCCCCACCTCGAAAAAAATCGGTCGCCTATGCGTTGGCGGTTGACCTGTTTTTCATGTTGCGCGCACGGTCATTGAAACGTCCGCTACTGTCCTGGCGTTGAGCCGAACGTAAGTGAACCGTCCGCCGATCCGCGTCCTTCAGTTTGGCCGCTCTCCTGTCTTCCCGGCAGCCTTTCCGTCGGAGCGTGTTCCGAAGCGAAGGGTGTTTTTGCTGCCGTCGCCGCTGTGTGTGCTCTGCTCTCAGCTCCGAAAGACAGGCCAGCGAGCCCGGAAGCAGGCACTGGACGTCCAACGCATGCAATAAACTACGAAGCCAGCAGTAAGCTCTCAGGCGTGGATCACAAGCGTGGACACAGTCACTTTTGCAGATGACGTTCTCGAGTGTTCCATTACAGTTCCCACTCCTCCCCTTATGTAATGCATCAATTCTCATATGAATGTTCTCTCTGTTCTGGACCCGTATGTGGGGAACCACAGACGGAGCTAACGCCACGGTTCAGCTCCCCGACTTCAGGAATCATTTCCGAATTCAAAATCCCTCTGGCGCAGCTCAAAGCTAGACCTCATCGTCTGTGTCAGTGCTGGGGATCGTCGTCTGCGTCATTTCTGGGGATCGAAGATGCCAGGAACATTCTAGGACCTCAGATGCTGCCGCTGTCAGGTCGAGGCTCCGGCACCCGACACAGCAAGTTTCCGCCCCGGGATAAAATATAACGATTAACACGTTTTCACCCATTGCAGAAAGTGGAAATCGCTGTTGCGGATATGGCTCTCACGGTTGATCGTCAAGAGGCCGTAGAGTTCACTCAGCCGTTCTTCATCGATGATTTGGCTGTCGTGATGGCGCGCTCCACACCTGCAGGTAGGCGGTCATTCGCGTCCTCCCATCGAATCGTGTTTGTGCCACCCCATTAGAACAAATTCACCGCTTGTACATTCACATTGGTGAACTCGAAAGATTTCCTCGACTGAATTTGGGTGGAGCGAGTTTGTTGCAATCCGCATGCAATAGGCTTTACGCTTCCTCCGCTCGTCTTCCTTCCGTTGGCAGGCTGCGTCTGCCCATGTCTCTTGTCAGTCGAAATCCCTCTCTCTTTCGGTCCTGTACTTCCGTGGTCGTTGGAGAATTTTCGCCGAGTGGGATCCCTCTGATAGATTTTTTTTCTCGAAACGAAAATTGCAGGGCGTCCCTCGCTGTCGTTCTTCTTCGTGCGCGTGTTCTCCTGGCAGCTGTGGCTATGTATCCTGGCCATCCTGCTGGTGTTCGTCACGTTCACCTACATCCTGAACTACATGTCGCAGACTCGACTCCGTAACAGCGCTGAGAAAAATCGTCTTGCGGGACTCATGTGGTACACGTTTGCATCACTGTTCGGTCGTTCGCTCGGTCCGCACGTCAAGTAAGTCGATTCCTGGAACTTTTCGAAACCATTAATTATGGAGCTGCACAAAAACTGTTCGCTTGCCATCCATGAATGTATTGCAAAGTCAGAAAGGAGGACACTTTGAGCTGAGCAACTGTTCGGAAAGGAAAAAAAGAGGAGGGTTCGGCCAGTGGTCGCTCGGGGAATGTTTTCCTTCTTTTCAATGCCTCGGCAGCCCAGATTTGAACCCCGACTGAGGTCGTGAGTCAATATTTCTGATTTCTCTCTGACTTGGTCGGATTTGGGTCCGATTTCGTCTCGACGTCCGTTCGGCTGTCCTCTCTCCTTCCACTTTGCAATTTCGCCAAAACCAAGGACTGAAGAGTCTTTCCAAAAATGTCTTCCTCCGTCTCGCTCCGTATTAATTTTGAGAAGGTGCTCCGTTGATCAAAGTGGCTAGCGAGTCGCTCTGGGGAAATAGTGCCGTCTGAAAAAATCTCCCCATGGAGAGTCTTCACGGACCCGGATGGGGCAATCTATTTGTCCAGGGATCCTTAGGTTTCTCTCTTCAAATCCGATGCCATCCCGGTCCGAATCGCTTCCCTCTGAAATTTCGATGGAGAATTTAATTAAATATCTCGATTGGGGCAGCTCAAGGAATGCGGGCTGAGCTTTCCGTCGCATCTGTTCTGGATATCGTTTACATGACTGGTTTACACGATAAATCGATTTTCGACTCTCGAGACGTCTTCCGGAAGAGAGCCCTGAATGTTCCAGATTGAGTGGAGCCCTCGATCCACGGAGGAAACTTTCATTGGAGCTTCCCTCACAATTATCGGAGTTCGGAGTCGCATCACTGTTCGATGGCGTTTGAAGTTAGAGCGATCATCGGCGACTCAATATGGAAGGAGAGCTGCACAAATTTTTCTAGCTCTGTCCCTTGATCTGAACGACACGAGCGAGAGGCCTCCGCCGGGGAACAAGCGGGGAGAATTGGTGATTTCTCGACAAATGCCCGCACTTGCTCATGACACGGTTGTTATTGAGTTGTCGGTCCCATGCTGTGCTCGAACGCTGACAAAACGTTTCGCTCGGTGGCGTTTGATTCAATGAGTAACTGTCGACGTGTTTGAGTGACGAGGGGGGGAGAGCGTTCGAGTGTGAGTGCGAGTGGTAACAAGAGAAACTCGATCGTGTATGTTGTTCCTTCGGACTCAGATTTTGGCTCCAACTCGGTCTGCCAGCGCAAACACCACACACAAATATTTGCCAACTTTTGTCGTTGTGTTGTAAACTGGGCTGCTCTCCGTAGTTTGCGGACTAGCTTATTGAATTGTGCCCGATACAAGATCTCCCCGAGCCCGGCGACGGAGTAGCTAAGAACGAGGCCCGGACAGCCTGGCGTAGGCTTCATCCGCGCTTTCTGCCTCTCTACTTGTCGCGCCGAATTTCCTCGGAAGTTTTCACCTGATTAGACTTCTCCTCAGTCGAGTGGCAGCGAGTCGAAAAAGAGCGAAACGCTGAAGAAAGGAACGTCGACAACATTTCGCGCGAATCATTGGTTGTTCTGGATACGACAATCAAGGAGCGAGAGGATATTGTTCGCTGCAACGATTCCCGATTCTTCTATCACTCGTCACTCACGGACGTTCTCATCGGATTCACTAACAAGGGGTTCTCTCACGATTGCAGCTCGAAAGCCTACAAGCTTCTTCTCCTGTCGTGGTGGCTGTTCCTCGCCGTAATTACGGTGACGTACCTATCGGCGTGCATTGCGTTGCTCCAGGCGGTTCTATTCGGCAATGGGCCAGACGTTTTCAACAGGAACAAATTTGCTCGGGTGAGTAGCTCGCTCCGTCCCTGCCTCCCGTCCGCCGGCCGGCCGCCCGTCCGTGGATCCGATCGGCGGCCTGGACCGCCCAACCAACCGCCTCACTAAAGAGCCGGTCTGGATGGGTGCGCAGAATGACTGGGTCGGTCGCGCGTTCCCTCGTTCAGTTGCCTGCAAGATCGACGGTCTCTTGGTCACATAGCCTGCCTTCATGATGATGATGATGATGACACAACAACAACATCGGTGGCGACGTCAACAACACCAAGCGCGGCGGCAACGGCGGGGGCCGCCGCCTTCCGCAATGAGTGTCGACTCGCGTCCCGTGTCAATTCAGGGGTAATGGAGCTCGTAACGATATTATGTACAGGCTCCTCATAGACCTCTCTCCCCCGCCTTTCGAGTCTGGCATCTTGGTTCCCGGGTCGGGATGACGGCTTTCGGTGCATGGTGTACAGCTGCCCTTTGTGTCGTCTGATTCCCCCTTTTTTTGCGTCAACAACTATGTAGATGGATTTCGTGTAAAAAGTGGAGTGACTCCATATTAGGTAGCAGAGGTGAAAAAAACACGGCAAGGCTTCGCGCCGCTGCGTCGGAATAGCTAGGTTCCGCGCGGAGATATCATCGCAAGTGGCATGGCAAAGGTCTTGGAAGAATGATAAACTCGACGATTTATGGGGGGAAAACAAAAAAAATCGCTGGAGGAAACAGATGCGTAATGAAGGACGTGCAGCGTCCAGTTCAGTCTGCCCCGTTGCGAAGTTCCGGGAAGCACTCCATGATACCGTCGTCGACGTAGTTGATGATGGTGCGCTGGGTGAGAAACGAAATTCTCCGTTGCTGAGGAATAGCTTCATTCCAAATGCGAAACGAAACGACCTCTCCTAGAGACAGACAACGCCGACGCCGGGACACCGAGTCCGAGGATCGTGCAAGGCTAGCGAGGACCTTCGTACAGGATCGGTGGCGGGTGTCCTAGGGAATTCTTTTCGTCGGACAGAGTGTTGTTGAAGCGACGCCTCGCTCATGTTTTCCTTTCTCTTCTTTCTTCCTCATGTGATTCTACCGTGCTTCACCGCGTGCGTTTATTCGCGTATAATAACAGGATGCTGCGGATGGAGTTGTCGACGTTGGATACATGCGTTACGATGCTGTCGAGAAGATGATCAAGGTGAGCAAACAAGCAGATAGAGCGACATGCAGGCGAAGAGGGCAGTGACGAGATCGTGGTCACGAGAGAGCGGCAACAGAGTGGCAAAGAAAACGGCCAAACGGTCCGGGGACTATAATAAGAAGGAACAGCGGCAGCAATAGTTACCGCGATAAGATGAGCAGACTGATGGGAATGCGACAAACGATGGATCCCCGTGAGAAAGCGCCATGTGCCCTTTGACGGCCCACAGCCACGAATGAGCGGGCGCGGAAAGTGAGAGGAAGCACAGGACAGTCAACATCACTCCTCAACATCGTCGTCGCGAGCTGCATCCATATGCATCATCTTGCCAATTCTCCCGAACGCTTCAGTCTGTATTCTCCGATGCTCTGCCCTCGGAAATCGTTGATTCTTCAATCCGAATATTCTCGGGATCGAAATACAGACGATCGAGGACATCTCATGAGTTTCCCCCCACTCGTTCTTCCGCAGAACCAAGGCGACAACCAACTCTCCGAGTATTCGCAGCTTCTGAACTCTTCACGTGCTCGTGTGGTGTCGTCTATCGCTGAAGGCATCCGGAACGTTGGTCCGAACTTCGCTTTCCTCGGTGAGTAATCGGGGTGGGTGATCGCGCAGACTTCAGTGAACTAAATGTCAGCCGCGGTCCCTATGATGACTGTGGTGACCGTTGGGGTCGTCGACGTTTTCGACGTGGACTTTATTCAGGGTATATTAGATGGGGGAAGACTGAGTAAGAGAGGGAGCCAGCCGGCTAAGTGGCTCTTGGATGAGAAGTTTTTTGGTGGCTACTAAGCTCCCGTCGTCGGGTGGTCAGCGACCGCTCACTGAGTTACTGTTTCCGCGGGAGGGAGAGCAGAAGGAGACACAGGCGAATAATGAACAAATAACATCGTTGCGATGGAGTTCATTCCGTTTTCTTTCTTGCAGGGCTCAAGTCGCAAGTGGACTCGTATAATCAGAACGATTGCGCCCTTAGATCCTACACCCTCATCCCACAGTTCGCCCAGTACGCCATCGTTATGCCGAAGATGTCGCCTTATCGAGATATGTTCAACCAGGGTATAGAGAAGCTGCGCGAATCAGGTTTGTATCCGTTACTAGCCTTCGAGCACGTTAGTGCGATCCCAAACCGCTCTAACTCTTAGACGATCTTCCTGGGAAAATCATGAGGAGGTTCGCATGGAACCTTCCACGGAACAATCCGACCGTTCGGTATCGAAACTTTCAGTTAGGCAGCGATTCCTATTACCCGCATATCTGGGCAGGGGGACTTTTAATCTGTGGTCGAGAGCACTCCGGATAGTTCCCAGCTCTGATGCGATTCGGGGGAGGATTCTCTCCGCTCGCGGTGGGAACTCTCCATATGTCGTGGAAGAGGACATTTTTCGCCTTTCGCGTGCGGTTAGTTCAATCTATCGAAGAATCCGAGGATCGCACGACTAATCCAGACATGACCCTCCGACGGAGTTGTGCCGCGGTATGCCGACTGCTAAACTTCGAGCTCGTCCATATGCCTCCGATTGATCCCATCGGAGGCTTACCATTGTATCGATTCCATCTCGATTCGAAATAGAACAATCGCGGAAAACAAATAGTCGCTTCCGAAATAACGACTTTCCGTAATACTACTCCGTCTATCCGACGGGTTAATGATTCATGGTCGCATACTCTCGATGATTCGGCCAAATCAAACTGCTTCCCATGGCCTATATCGTACAGTAAAGCCCAGTAGATCTCTATTCGGAATACTCTGGGCTCCCTCGACCAGACGAGCCTTCAGACGTTGATGGAAACCGAGGTCTGCGCTCGCGGCTCGTCAGAGAGTAGGCCTTGAGACGTTCGGAAACGATATCTTGACGTGATGCTCTCGGGCCTAGGATTCTCTGGCCTGCAAAGGGGTTACCCCTTCTCCAATTTTCCGCTGCGAGAGCACCTTGAGCGACTCAAGCACCTCTTGTGCCCTGTGCGGGAGGGGGGAAGGCGGAAAACTTATGGCCGAGGAATGCCTCGCTTTTCCCGAGAAGAACGTTTTTTTTCATTTGGATCCGATCATTCCCATTGTCTGCATCCGAATCGGACGGTCAAGGGGAATTCTCGGACCTCCCATCGAGGACCTTCAGAAAACGTGGAGGCTGCCAACCTGGATATCGCTCAACGATTCGATATTTCGCCCCGACAGAATACGTTTCGTCTCGGACTGGTATTGCTCTCGGCGAGCGGACCCGTATGCGTTTCGTCCTTGCCCATCATCTCACTCATTTTTTCTCCCTCTCGCAGGTGTCCTCGCCGACCTCAAGGAGAAGTGGATTGACTCTCTAGCACGCTGTCCTCGTGAAATTGAGGTTCTTGAGATCCCTGCGCCGATTAAGTACACCGCCCTGTGCGGGATGTTCATAGTCGTACTCGCCGGTTTCATCCTGGCCCTCGCTGCCGGTGTGGTTGAGTTCTGCTGGTGCACGAGCAGAGATTCAAAAAGTGAGGTAAGTCTGTCCTGCTGGATTTTTCCCTCATTGCGCCCATGCGACTTGTCCCCTAGGCGCGACTGGCTTGCTCTATCCGCGTTCAAACATTCCCTTCCCCCAACCCGAAGTGTATGAGACCGGCTCGCTCGCTCGGAGGTCTGGCCACGAAACAGCGAAGCCCCCTCGTGTTCCGAACCTTTGTCGAGCGTCGAATCCTCGACACCTATTTCATCTTTTCGACTCCACCATCTCTCGTTCCCTCAACGCAACTACTTTCTGTCAGCCTCCTCTGATCACCATCTGCTCCGCTATCTCTCTTGTGCTTCCTCGTGTATCAAGCTAATTCCTCTTCCCATCCATCAATCCCGCGCGTTTCTCGACTTGTCCCCACACGGCGCCATCTTGCTCGACATTCCGCGGCTTTCCACCTCCTCCCTCTACTGTACCCCGATCTCGTTGCTTAAGTTTTCCTGCGACGGCGTCTTCTCAGTCGCCCTCCCAGCGTGGCGCGGCAGTTTTTCCCCTCTATCTAGATTCGACCCGCCTCCTTGTCTCCCTCGTCCGATAGTCCCGCTCGCTCCTCTGCCGGACCAGCGCACTCTATGTAACAGTTGGAAATCGCGGATAGGACTTCCTAAATCTGTCTAGATCGAGCCGGTCCAGCAGAAGATGTTTGCAGATGTAGATTGCCAGCTGGCCGTCGAGTCGACTGGCTTGCTTCCGAAGATAATGGTATGACAGTCACGATCATTGCACGGATTTCAGAAACCAATTCAGAAAGTGATGTGGGACAAGACACACGATTCGCTTAAGCCGTTCACCCAAAAGGACCCCGCTTTGGTGAGTGAACTGCTGGCGACTAAGAACTTTTTCTCTTTTCCGAATTAGAATGACGTTCATTCGTAGCTCGGCTCTTCCGCTCGCTCGCCCGTGGGTCCGTCCGTCTGCCCGTCCGCGATTGGCCCCCATCCATTCGACCACCAGATCCCGAGCGTATCCCGAGTCTCGGTCGTTCGATTCTCCAAGTCGCGGGAGGAAAACGTTTCGAAGATCCCGGGTCGGTCTGGTTTATCGGAAGCCGACCGCGAGCCGGCGAGCGGCTAAGATGGAGGAGTCAGGGTGAATTTTCGCGGACGTGCTCCAACAGACATTAATGCTGTGCCTTTCCTTCCCACAGGGAAATGACGAAGAAATGACTTTGAATGCAAGTCAAGCTAACGGAACTCCCAAACAAGTCCGGGTCATGGTTTAAGTTTCCTGCGGTTTCACCTGGTTTGAGCTCCGCTCGAATGCCTTGCTTCCCGCTATTCCCGCCTTTCATTAAAATTCAATGAAGCCATAAGCTGAGAGAAACAGCTCCACACCGATCGGAGATTCGGTGTCTCATCGAGATCATTAGCCATATACACTGTAATCACGCTTTTGTGAACCTGCGGATGTACTTATCAATGAGCGTCGGAAAGCCGAATGATCCCGTGAACTCATCGTTCCCGAGTCGCCTATCCCTTGGTCTCCCATCATACATACCGACCATCCCGGGTTTCGGAACTCAAGCACTTCATGTACGAGTCATCTGCTGGATCTCTCCACCCAATAGCAAACCTCCACAGATCCGCCCATCTTCCGACCTGTTCAATTTTCCCCGATCATACAGGACCCGTTGCCTGAGCAATGCTCGAAATCACTCGGCAGGAGCGTTGCGGAGGTGAAGAGAGACATTACTCGTTTGTCGCTATCCTCGCGGTTGTGAGAGAGCGCGGTCCTAGGAGAAAATTGTGAATAATCATCCTTAGGCGAATCTAAAATGTTCCGGGATGCCTATCGCTGGGTAATCGATCATTGACTCCGTAGCTCCCAAAATAGCGCGTGTCAACAGAGACACCACCGACTGAGAGAGTTAAAGAGTGAATGGACGACCTTCGGCATCACGGTTTCCTTTCTCCAATAAACTCTCCCGACCGACGTCAGGCGATATTCAACATACCAGAATTAGAGCCTCGATATATGTATAAGATTCGGATTCCCTCTCCGAGTGCGATTACGATGTGTCAACCCAAGGTCTGGGTAGGAGGCGCCAAGTCTTATGGCGGGTCCGCCTGGAGTCGGGATTCGATGCTAATGACCCCAATTTTCGACGTTTCATTTCGTGTTCTACTGTATATACTCGCGAAGTGTATACATTCTCGCAGTACAGATCGTGAGAATGACTGAGTTCGGGATGGAGGTCACGGGGAGTTCGCGATCTGAGAAATCATGTGTTCGCTGGAAAAGAAAAATGATGGAGAGAAGCTCGGGCTGCTCGAGAAGGCTCTTCGATTCCGGGAATTCCGGAGCACGGATTCGGCTTCTGAGGAATCAGGAAATCCTCATTGGTGGATGATTTCGAAGAATTCATAGGGAAACAGCGGGAAGCGAAACTTTATTCCTCTCGTATTAAGATTCAGAGATATTCAATCAGGAGCCGGGATCGGCTACGGCATCGGCTCCCTGCGTTCTAGTCTTGGCGAACGCTTGCGAGATATGAATTTCGAGAAACGATTCATATTCATTTTCAAGCACCCGATAGAAGCCGTTTGTGGCAGAGAGCAAAGAGCGGAAGCAGAAGAAAACTGAGCGAATCTCCACATTCTCTCGGCTCCTAGGGCGGTCATATTTGCATTTCAACGGGCCGGCAGAAGAAAAAAATTTGTTGCTGCCATCGAACTGAGGAGCTTGATGTGAGGGTCTTGCAGAAATTTCTCCAACCCCCGCTCGCTGAATGAAGGGCCCCCAGCACGTGTTCGAAGCCCCCTCGGTGAAATTGCGATATTTTTCTAACAAAGAATAAATAGCTTAAGTCATGCGGCGGGACAACATTCTCCAGAACGTGTATCTAGAGCATCACATCGCAGATCCATCTAGAACGGAGATGAGAACGTTCCCGATCGGGCCTTACGTCGCCAGATTCTTCCATCCGGGAAAAGCCTTTGTCTCAGATTCCTTAGATTTTTCAGGGAACAGAGGAATTTTCCAGAAAAAAATCCCAGTTACGAGACCATCGCGCTGGAATCGATTGTTCCTTGGAACAGCGGAGCGCTACCGTACATTGATTCCGACTCTGCTGATGTCTCTTTCAAAATTGGAGGACATTGAAAGACGGGAATGGGAAGCGATCGGGAACGATATCCATCACAGTATCATTGTACAAATTGCTGCCACCTGATGTCGGGGAATCTCGTACTGATCATTATAAGTCTGACTATCGTAGGTCGATAAGATGAGATCCGCCGGAATCAATAATTTGAGAAACGAGGAGGAGGTTCTCACGGACCTGTGTAAATATGAATATTTTTTAGTTGTCCCCAGAGCACTGAGCGGAAATGGAAGAACTTGTTGACATAGATTCGCGAAAAGAGGAAAAATCGAATAAGCGACAGTATGCGTGCGTTCACGTATTTCTGCGTGTAATTAAGTTCGACGTGAGCTCGCGTCAGCCATCGTGTGTCTACAATGCGTGAGTGAGAATTGCTGTGTGGAAGTCATCAATCAATATTCTCGATTTCATTGTGGACGTTGATTTGTCATGATTTCTCTTTCTTACGGAATCGTCATCGTTAGGGGGGAGTCGTCGATGCGACTCCTCCACGGAACGATCGGCTGATTCGGTCGGTCAGTCAGTCACTTTGTCCGTGAGTTGATATGAATCACCTAAACCGATGATCACAACAATAAGAGATAACTATCAACTATTGAAATATCTTGACACATTTGTGAATACGGTTCAATAAATGTAACTTTTGTCGTGCCATGACTCGCTACGTCTCGTGTATGGTAGGTCTTCGGGCAACGATTGGCTATTGAGATAGAATCTGCGATATTTTTGAGGATAGCTTTCAGAGGAGGTCATCTGAGGATTCCGTTCGTCAAGTTCGTGTGCGATCTCCGGCTTCGATACCGGTAATGGTCGTCCTGAGTAGACGATTCCGTCACTCGTCACCGAGCAGTTCCCGTCGAGCTGAGTCAATTATTGAAATACAGGCCGGATGAATAGGAATCGCATGTCGGAGTCCCCCGTCACGGTACTCGCATGGTCTCATACCGCGTTGATTCGTGTGCTGACGGAAGCATTCTAAGTCCGTGCTCACGCCCGATGCAAGGCTTTCGCTTTTCTGTCGAGAGGGCTGTAATTTAGCTTTTTGTTCTCTCCGACTCCTTCCCCTTTATCTCGGGGGTGCTCACTCGAAAGCTTCTCCCGAGTCCCTGATTCACTCCCTCCGTGATGCTCTTTCTCCCGTGCGTTACCCCTCTCGACAATTTCTGCCGTGGATGCACCCCTGCTCAGTCGAATAATAGCAGTACCGTCCGAGCCATGCTTTTTTGTCGGTAATGAGAGGCGCTTGGCCAATGAGGATCCCCAAGCATCGCGTACATCCGGGAGCTGAGTCGGAATCAAACCTCGAGTGGAGCTGACCTGGTCTCTGACAATTCTCCAGCGGGTGCTGTCACATCACGGCCGACGACTCCGATGAGATTAGCACGAACGAGTCCATAGTCCGCCTAATTCTTTCCAGCAAAAATATTCCATTGGTGGAAGAAAGTTCCTCGGCTCGTCATGGACTTTCCTATGTATCATGCATAGATGCAAGCTTCCGGAGCATTTGATGGCGTGGACTGATTATCTCCGCCTAATTATACTCCGCGCTGAAACGGGTTAGGTAAATACTGCTCCAGTCAACTCCACTGAATTTGATGATATAAAAACATCATAATTCCCTTTCATTACCCACTGATCGCTGGGAGAAAGAGTGTTGAACTCGGTGTGTCGGGGCGAAGGCACTCCATTTTACGGTCAGCAATAAATCATTTGGTATTGAATCCGGCGAGCGACTGGATGTGTACGCTCGAAATTCGGTATTGCGCTCGGCCGATGCTGTAGACTAACCTGGCTGAAACGTTCACTCGGTCACAGTCCGATGTCCGCGGCGTTTCGGGGTCTCTGGACCAGTCGTCAGAAGAAGATTTCTCCGCGAGCCCCTATCAGACTCCGCAGAAGTATCGCACGCCCGAGGGGGTCGAGGAACAGTACCGTAATCGTTGTCCTCGCCCCCGCGGGAGGGCCGGCACCTTCGGCACTTCCCAGTGGAGGCAATCATGATTCCACTCGTTGAACTCCTGTCCTCCACTCGAGGCTATGGTCCTTGCCCTAAAAAATGGGGAAATGATCCCCACTGGAGTGAGGGAACGATCCCCATCAGAACTTTCTGAAAGGTATTCTAGCTCAAAGGCTCCCCAGACACAGACCCAGTCCTGGAGTCGAAGAGATTGAGTCGATGTTGTAGGAGTGGATGCTGTCTCGATGCATCGAAAGAATCCAAATTTCGACGGAGGGCGAAAGCTCACGCTTTCGGAATGGAGGGAGAGTTGTTTGTAGGGATTGTTTTCGTATTCAGATACATGTGTCCAGAGCCCGATTTGAATATCGCGTTGATATGAACGAGGGTCGTTTGGATAGCGTGTGGTGGGTCGGCAGTTTTTTTCGTTCCTGGTATTGGCATCATGGCCGCAGCTACCGAAGCTGAAAAATTGGGGCTCAGCTCCGAGATTCGGGTCGGGGAGCCGAGATTGGGTGCGAATCCATCAGAAACAGATCTCCGACTGTCCGAAGAATTCTGCATGAAGCAGCAGGAGTCGGAAGAATCTTTCAGCAATGGATTTGTCGGCAGATAGGCATATCGACTAAGCCTCTGTCTGGGAGTCTCGCTCCTTTCATCCACCTGACTGAGGTTTATGGAAAATACACCCCACAAGACCGACAAGTCATCGGGGCGGTAGACTCCCGAGGAGTCCGGGTGAACGAGAGAAGAGAAACACTTGACATTCAGGAGGCAGCTCTCACACAAACGCTGGGATCCAGGATCATCAATGGGACTCCAAACCGCACAGACGTCACGCTCAAAACGGGGAGGGAGAGAGAGAAGACCAAAGGCGAACAGCCTTCCCGCTTGGTGGCAACGGGAATCATGCACTTAGCCTCGCAAAGCTCACCACGACTTCCGACCTCCCGACATATTACTCTCGCGGAATTCCGCCAAGCCTCCGTCAGAAAGCGTCAAGCATTCAGCTGAGCGGCTACAGCTGGCGCTACGCTCGAGCAGTCCATCAGTCAGCGGCAATTACCGGAGGTGCGACATCGTCTCTTGCGTGGCGCAGCACGACCTTCGCCGCAATTGAGTGGAAGTCGAAACATAATTGCCGTAATGACTCTAAGAGAAGCGAATCTCATGAATCACTGGATCTCAGCCATTGACGAAAACATTTCGGAGTCCCTGGAGGCTCGCGGCGGCTTCTCCCCCCCCCCTCCTCCTCGCGAAAGTTTGCCCATCCAATCGGTGCATCATTTCCTATATATCATGGGGAATTGCAGTCTGAAGTTCGTCTCGAGGGCCACGATCCTCTAGATCCTCTCATTTGGAGGGGGGAGGCGGGTCGTTCGATCGTTCCAGCTCCTGAAAAAAAACAATGGCATGATGATAAAATCAAGCTGACCAAGTGCAGAAAGGTGAGACGTTCGCGAACGGTCCCTTCCAATGAGGGTTCCTGGCAGTTGATGGAAAATTGCTTCCATCATTGACGACCGTTGCGACGACCTACGCGGGGACGACGTGGTCGATCCAGACGATTTGAACCACTTCAGAGGAGAAATCCAGAGGAGCTGAAGCAGCAGCTCGTTAGAGGAGCGGATTCGTGCGCCAGTTGCGGATACCGGGGATGGGAAGAGGGAGCGAGGGGTGATATTGGAAGCTGCCTGTCCAGCTAGCCGGTTAGCGTGAACGCCAGGAACAATGGGAGGAGGGAGGACTCGATTATTTAGCGCTCTGATTGGCACCGCTCGCCTACCCTCCCTATCTTTCTTTCTTGGATTGCAGGAGAACCGATTC